GGGAGGAGTTGATTTCAGTAGGATTTAACCGGAAATTCGTGACTTGTGTCAACGGGTTAAGCGAGCACGGAAAACTACCTGTACAGTTAGTAACGGTGCAGTATTTATGGAACACCAGTGGTTAGCTTATGAACGCAAGCAATCGGAGAATAGTAGGGCAACATATTTTGTAATCCTCAATGAGTTAGACAAGTTATAAATTATGAAACTTACTGAAAACACGTCGCCGATGGGATTAGTTGTGGATATTCATGACAGAAATGAATGATGCAATAAGAGTGCATTGTCAGCAAACACCAAATTCGTGACCGTGAATTGTTAGTATAAACAATTTGAACGTTGTTCATTATTCAGAGAATTTGTTGTGCGTATTCCTATGAAACAACTGAGGGAAGTATATGGTTACGGAATTTTACTCCTTGGTGGGGGTAGAGATCACTAGTTTACAGCTCAGAGCAATGGAAAAATAGGCAAATAAAAATGTTTAGGGCCAGACTTCTGTTCAAATTAACCACTTATATACACATATTCCAAAGTCAACCGCCATGAATAAAGACCGGTAACCTCCAACTGACGGCTGACCTTCATGGCTGTGGGAGCAATAATTTTACCGTGCAATACACATTAACGTTCCTAACGAAATCAAGATTATATTACTGTTTACCATCATTATATTTCAGATATTTATATATAAATACGGCATTATCGGTGCAACTTCTCATACTATTTACCAACCAATTGGTTTTTATAACTGAGTTCCTAAATTTCCTCGCGAACTTCTAAAATGAGACTTAAGATATACCGAAGTGGTTTACTCCTTGCAAGTAATATTTATCATCTTTCTTCATTAAGCTGATCAGTACACTGTGTCACAAATAAATTACACTATCCAAAATGCTTTGCCGAAAAGTACCCTTTTGAAAATCCTTTATCCATTGGTTTACCATGACGTCAAAATTATCCTTCAAAATGCATCGCTTTTTGGTTGCTGTCTTCCAACGCTTGCTTTGCTCTAGGTAGCACACATCTTAATTTCGACAAGATACGATTGTTAGCGTATTCAGTCTATTTGGTTTGCGATATTTTTCTATTCATGTATATCAATGTTAATGTTACAAAGAACACGTTAGATTCGACTTCACATTTCACCAGTACCCGTCATTTATATTCAGACATGATTTTACGTCCGGTACAAGTACAGGCATTAACCGGTGATATTTGCCTGAGAAACTCAGGCTAAAAGTTAACCACAGAAAAACAGTGTCTACGACTGATTTGAATCCGCGACGGTTTTCTCGTGAGCAATCCTTTGATTAACATGTCATACATTAGACGAATTAGGTAAAGCATATGTGACTAGTTGATACGGTTTATGCATACCACTTGTGTTCGAGGAAAAATAGCCAGCTACAAATACAACCCATTAGTATTGTAGCATTCCGGTGAATTCAAATCAGGAAGGAATTTGTAGGTGTAGTTGAGTACACTTTCTCTCATACTCGTAAAAACAGGTCACAGAAAGAACATTTTCATTCGCGTAGTGTATAACTTAAAACGATCACTTAATCTTGTGGCAAACAGAAATCAAATTACTAATTTAGTCATATATACAGGTATTGACCAAACTCATGCAACATCCTGATTTTCATCACATTTGTTCCTCGCAATGCTTCGTTTTTTGTATATGAGTGAGTAGTGGAGGATTTGGTTCAATTTCAAAGGTGAATTCGTCGTGTATATAGCAAATGAAGCGGGAACTGAAAAGCTAAGAAGCACTGGAAATGTTTCTAGCTGGTTGGGTCTCATCAGCAGTGTGAATCCATCGACCGAACTGGGGATCGAACCCGGGGCCCCACAGGCAGAATGCAAGAGTACTTCCCACTCGGCCATCGGGCAGCTGAGGTCGCGGGCTCGATCCCCAGTTCGGTCGATGGATTCTCACTGTTGATGAGACCCAACCAGCTAGAAACAGCTGTCCAGTGCTTCCTAGCTTTTCAGTTCCCGCTTCATGTGTTATATACAAGATGAACTCACCTTCGAAATATATATATAACACCAATTTAGTCACGATGGCGAAACGAAATTCTACGTATGCCTACGTGTCCGATGATTATTGGCTATGCACTTGATGACCACAAGAAGGAAGTCGGATGATCACAAATAATAATAAATGTTTTTAATTCCCTTTTTGTTTATTATTCATAAAAATGGGCAATAAACCTCCAGGAAGGGGTCGCGGCCATACAAAGGCTGTCTGGGGAAATGAAGAAAATAGGAAGATTGGAGGTGATGGTGGGGTTCGAGCTCAAGACCTCCAGGTGGTTATTTTGACGACATTACCACCCGGCCGCAGTTGCCAGGTCCATTTATAAATCAGTTTACTTGTCATGACTTTTTGTCGTACTTTGACTAATACCGCCATAAGACCGAACGAAAGTGCAAGTGTCCTGTGGAAAAGTGATGACAGTTTGTCCGGAGCAATTTAAGAATATGTGTTTCACATATGATAATTTAGGAGCACTGAAATTAGGTTAATTGGATATACATGTACACGTACCAATATCGCTCAATAACCAACAGATTAGGATCTCTCTTTAGAAATAACGGTGGTAGTATCAGTTGAAGAACTCTGAGACGATCTACAAACTCGATTCATTGAATGTCTTAAAAAATCCATACCACATTTGCCCTGAAGACGTTATACCCCTCTAATCTGATAAGAGATTAGGATAAAGTCTATGAACCTTCAGGCACAAGTGGCCGGAAGATAATATGACCTATGTTTGATCAGCCTTAATGACACTTCAGTTTACTGTGTTATTCAACGAGGAATGGATTTGGCGAACATCATGTTCGGCTTAAATCCTGAAACAGAACTTCCTTTCAACATTCTTAAAATTAGGTATACCACCCATAAGCTCATGAAACGTTGCTCACTATTGTGCGCTTTTTAAATGGCCTACTTAGATATAACCTACGTGATGTGGGGAAAAACTGCATCATATTCTAAGACCGCTTTCTATCTTGCTTATAATTGATTCCATTATCATTTCGTGATCATTTACGAATCTTCTGTTTTTCCTATGATCATTAACTTATGCATACAGTTCCTTTTTGATTACAAGCCTGATTATGTATTCCATTTCGGAAACAAGTAGTGCGAAGTCAGTATCTAACTCACGACAAGTGGGAAACACTTTAATCCATTCTCTACTGTCGATAGCACAGTAGCATAAGGCGAAGCACCCTCTGTAAAATATGGCAAAAATAATGGATCAATCTATTTTTGGATTAATCACAATATAGTCACTGACATCTTTAGTCTATTTATGTGGCCTTCTCCGAACAGTGAACCTATCGTTCAGGAATTCGAGCAAAAATCACTCTGAATTTTGAAATAGTCGAATAATCTTAATAATAATAACCAAATAATCTTTTTTGTCCACAGTAAAGTATAGGAAACTCCACCTAAAGTTTGTCTGGAAAGCTTTAGCAATACGTTTTACCAATTACATATTTATTTTCATTATTACACAATATGATGTAATGTACACTAAAAGTGGTGAGCTCCGTAGTCAGAATAAACAATTGTGTTTATGAGAAGGCGACACTTTAACCACGGGAATGATAAGCCATTGTCATTGCGCCGAATAGAGGCAGAACTGCCCATCACCAGTCGGCACACTTTGAACTTAGGACCTTGAGGACAATTGAGCAAATGGGAACGATCTATGTCAAATAACATGCGTCTGAGAACGAGTACTTCATCGATTTGTAAAACTATTAATCCAGTGAGTTAGAGATTAGATTTTGGTTACTGATTATGGGCAACTCATCTGATAAACGAATAAGAGCACTGTCCATCAAATTAGATCACGCCAAATGCATAGAATATGAGTTGCATTAATGAACAAACGCCGTTGATATTACAATCAGCCATGCCAGCTATTTTTCCACAATCGCCATTTAGACTGATTCAAAGGACCTCTAATGAGAAGCCAAAACAAGTTTTGTGCGCATTCACACAAAGTTGTGGCACACTATCACCAATCTTTTAATCAATGTATATTTCATAAATGACTGTTTGCTTGAGAGTTTTATAAAAAGACGCCTGTTATCCATCTTTATTCCACCAAAATTCTCGAAGAATAAGCAAAATTGTGTAAACAAAATCATACAACACATTACATTGGGTCTCTGCATTCCTTGCATGTTTTGCCTGAGACCCTGAGACGCTAGGTAAAAGGCAACGTTAAGATACCGGCACCCTTTATCTTTATTCTACAAGACCATGCTTCAGAAATGTACTGCAGGACTGGCCGAAGTGTGGCGGTACATACTTCACCATTTGCAGATAGGTGGGTGCTGAAAAAATAAACTGAATCTTCTGGTTATATGAAGATAATTTCTTCCGGGGCACTATCTTTATATGGGTAATATTAAAGGCATTAGCTCCGAAGTTCAAGGGAAAAGAAGAACCCTCAATAACACTACTTTTTGAAGTTTACTGGTGAATAATAGAACCCACCTTTATACATAATGCTGACATCATACTCTTCTTTGTATGATTCGTCTGACATAATGGAACGATTAGTCGGGAAAATAGCAAAACCGAGCACAATGAAATGACTAAAGGTGTCTGAATAGTAAAACTATGCAACCTTAAGACACATTAACATGCAATTAATGTTAAATTTCTCAACGAGTAAAATTAGTTTTACTTTTGTTCTCTGAAAGCCCCACTTTCTCAGTAGATTTCGTTTATGAATACACATTGCCTCTGATACACCCTTCCCTGATGTAACACTGTTAATATTATATCAACAAATTTTTTCACTTATATTAACCACTCTTTGTGCATTACCGCTGGTGACTTTCATTTATTCTAGGTTTGCTTCGCTCACTCGAATTAGTTTACCTCGATGGCATAAATGCAAATAGCCCTCATGTGTTCCACGTTATCAAACGAGATCCGTTTAGCACCTCTGATTACCAAACCACTTTCCTTTAGCTTAAGATCTACTGAAAAAA